CCCCGTCATCTTCATCTGGACTTTGAATTTGATATTGGGTAGCATTAAAAAATTAAGGTGATATAAAATTAACATTTTACTAAGAAATTGCAGGGAGGCTTTAAGATAATCGATGTCACACTATGATATTGAGATTGCTAAAATTTCAAATTATTTACCAAAATTGGGATATAACTAAGAGCTTATTGCATTATAATTTGTCTAGTTAAATGCAATATCTATATATGAGTAATATACTTTACATCTGACTTTTCTCACACTGATTAACACTCTTTCTGCTATAACTATCCAGCCCAGGACAAACAGGACCTTTCCAATTAGTACTGGTGTTTCTCCTTCTGAATAAGTCTACATCCATGAGAACTCCAGCTGCCAGTGCTAGGAAGTGTGTTCCAGGGCAGCCATAGCAATAATTCTGCTCACGAATGCTCTGAGTCCCCCTGACTCAATCCTCCTGCCTCTTTTCTTCCCTGTCTCTAATTTGCTCCCTTGGTGATACCATTTAATCTCCTGGTACCAAATGCCATTTTTTTTAATCTTTTTCTTTATTTTTATTTATTTATTTATTGAGACAGAGTTTCACTCTTGTAACCTAGGCTGGAATGCAGTGGCACTATCTCAGCTCACTGCAATCTCTGCCTCCTGGGTTCAAGTGATCCTCCTGCCTCAGCCTCCTGAGTAGCTGAGATTATAGGCATGTGCCACCATGCCCGATTAATTTTTGTGTTTTTAGTAGAAATGGGGTTTCACCACATTGCCCAGGCTGGTCTCGAACCCCTCATCTGAGGTGATTCACCCACTTGGCCTCTCAAAGTGCTGGGATTACAGGCGTGAGCCACCACATCCAGACCCAAATGCCAAATTTTATATTGATGATCCTCTGAAGTTTATCTTCTGCCAAGACTTCTCCCTGATTTGTATCAAGCTATTTCTATAAACATCTACCTGGATGCCCAATAAGTGTTTCAAACTTAACATGTACAAAGCTAACTCCTGAGCTTCTGCCCCATTCCACTCTCCCCACCTTCTCCATCTCACTGAATGAAAAACAAATCTGTATAGATATTTAAGACAAACATTCTGGGGAGTAATCCTCATTCATTTTTTCTTATATCCCACTTTGAATATATCAGAAATCCCTCTGGTGTCTGACCACATATCATTATCTATGCTACTACACAAGTCAGCACCATCCCTAGCCTGGATTATTGGAATGCCCTTTAATAAGTCTCCTCGATTTCATCCTTGTCCTCCTACAGCCTATAAAAGAGTAGCCAGCATGATCCAGTTATAAAAATGGTAGATTATGCTCATCTTCTGCTCAAAACCCTCAACAATATATACATACATATATATGTATGTATGTATATAGGTATACTATATATAGGTATATATATATATGTATATAGGTATATATATGTATGTATATATAGTTAAATGTATATTGTACTATAATATATATTGCAGTATAACAAAATAAGCTCTTAGTGATATCCCAATTTTGGTAAATAATTTGAAATTAATAGTCTCCCTCTTAGAACAAATACAAGTGTCTTATAATGGCCTAAGAAGCATTAAAAAATGGGCATCATCACCTTTCAGATCTCATCTACAACAGCACTTCCAGAAGAATATAACGTGAGCTACATGAAAGAAGGGCATACATTTTCCAGTGGTAACATCAAAAAAATGTGCAAAACAGATGTCATTAACTTTAATAATCTACTTCATTTGACATCATATAGCCAAAATGTTGTTTTTTCAACATTTAATCAATAAAAACTGCATATGATTTAGTTTAGGTTTTTCTTTCGTTACAAAGTCTCTGAAGTCTGGTGTGTTGTTTATACATACAATACATGTCAGTTCAGGCTAGCTACACTGCAAGTGCTCGATAGCCATATATGGCCAGGGATGGTGCGATTTTACAACTTCTCAGTGCCTCTCATTAGAGCGGGCATGCTCCTACCTCTAGGTCTCACAGACCTTGCTCTTCCTTCTATCTGTAATACTGTTTCCTTTGGATCTCATTATGGTTCTTCCCTTAACCCTTTTCCAAACTTGGTTCAAGTGTTTTCTTTTTAGTAAGATCTTCTCTGTCTACAATATTCAAATTCCAACCTCTTTCAATTGTAATATTTCCTATCAACATTCCTGGATTTATTTTCTTCATTGTATTTAACAGATTCTAGCAAGTTACATAATAAATACAGACACACATCCACACACACACACACACACACACACATCCACACACACACATGTTCTTAAATCAAATTTAATCTAACACTAAGCTCTCATGCGACTAGACTGGTAGGAAGTTTCATTAAATTATTATTGGAGCTCCTTCCTTCCACTCCAGAGTTGTTCAAAAGTCCTGGGAGTGACGGTAACTCATAATGTATTAAATTCATTCCAGAACTGCCTTGCTACAGTTGGGCACAGTAGACCCTGCCAGCTTGGGGCCCTGGTGTCTACAGTTTACAACTGCTGAGTTTAGTTCCTGGGTTCCCAGATTCCCTGGGAAGCAGGTCTGCCCCACCTCCCTGGAGTTCTGCACCATTTCTCCTTGTTCAGGCCACCATCTCCTTCCTAGTCCTTAACAATTTCTCCTAATATTTTCGTATCACCTCTCCCAATGCTCAATGTATTTGCCTCTTTGTCCTCCCCTTAAAATATCTCTTCAGTTATTTTAACTTTAGAAAACAAAATCTGTAGTGTCTAAAGGAGAGTGAGGATTGGGCAGGGGTGATCATGATGAACGGTGGACAGGACTTATAGGCAAGCTTTAAAATGGAAACCCTTGAGTCAAAAAGCCTGATTATCCCCTTGGATTGGATGGGGAGAGGTGGGAGAAAAAATACAGTACAAAAAACAAAAGATACCGTTATTATTGTAACAAAGTCTTGATAAGAGCATAAGTAAGAATTTTGGGAGATTTCAGAATATTTTTCCTTTTTAATGGCTCATATTTTTCTTATCCCTATTTATTACCAAGAAGCCTCAAAATTAAAATTATTTCAGTGATACCAGGAAAATGAGGGACCTGAAAGTACTGTCACACAGTAGTGGCATACAACAGGAGCTGAAAAAAAAAAGTATGCACATAAATATACATGGATGCCTGTAGACATACATACAGGTTTTGAGATGAATAGAGTCTAAAGAAACGTTGTAAACTGTTGGTGGGAGTATAAATTAGTTCAGCCGTTGTGGAAGACAATGTGGGCAATTCCTCAAGCACCGAGAAATAGAAATTCCATTTGACCCAGCAATCCCATTACTGGGTATATAGCCAAAGGATTATAAATCATTCTATTATAAGGACACACACACACAAATGTTCATTGCGGCACTGTTTGCAATAGCAGAGACTTGGAACCGTCCCAAATGCCCATCAATGATAGACTGGACAGGGAAAATGTGGCACATACACACCATGGAATACTATGCAGCCATAAAAAATGATGAGTTTGTGTCCTTTGTAGGGACATGGATGAACCTGAAAACCATCATTCTCAGCAAACTGACACAAGAACAGAAAATCAAACACCGCATGTTCTCACTCATAAGCGAGAGTTAAACAATGAGAACAGATGGACACAGGGAAGGGAACCTCACACACCGGGACCTGCTGGAGGGTGGGGGACTAGGGTAGGGACAGCATTAGAAGAAATAACTAATGCAGATGATGGCGTGATGGGTGCAGCAAACCACCATGACGTGTATACCTAGGTAACAAACCTGCATGTTCTGCATATGTATCCCAGAACTTAAAGTATAATCAAAAAGAAAAAGAAAACGCTGTCGAAAGAAAAGGGAAGAAAATAGATGCTTGAGAGGAAAAGAAGTTTGGAGGATCAAGAAAACAGAAATCTGGGGAAAAAATAAATGAACAACCTGACTTCTGGGTTGGGAGAGGGAAGGAGAAAGGAAAACCATTGTATGAGATGCCAAGTCAAGGCCAGGAAGAGTTTCATGAAGGAGACGTGTTGCAATGACCTATGTGCCATATTACTGCATTTTGAGGATACTGAATTGCTTGAAATCTTACCACTAAATAACAGAAAGAGAAAAAGTAAAAAACTTTCCTGGCTATTTATCTCCTCTGTGCTAGGTAATTTTGCATACAATATTCTCTTTCATCTTCACAATAGCACTATAAAGTAGATGACATTAATCTCATTTTCCAGTTGAGGAAAGAGGGTCAAAATGATTGAATTCTTTGTTTGGGATCACACTGCTATTCAGTGTGGACTCGGGGAAAGAAGGCATGCATTCAACCCTGGGTCCCTCATTCTTGCGGTGGCCACTCTCCCAGCTGCATGCCCTTGTAGGAATCACTTACTTTTCCAGACAGATCCCCCTCATACATCTTCTGCTCCACATTGGAAATGTCTCTTTATTTCTGAAGCCTTATTTTTTCACTTTATTTTTTATGCTCAAGCTAGACAGTCAATAAGGATTTAGTGAATAAGTAAAAGAAAAAAAGAACCCATGTGCATAGGTATATGTCCATTCTACATCATTTAGTTCAAACTATAAGGTTTGACAGTAAGCAGTCTGTAAACATAATATGCATACTATTCATTTAAAAACACACAGAGCAATCCAGGGAGCATGACCTCTTAAAGGCAGAGTCCCCTCACGGGGCACTGTATGCTAATCAGCAAAGCGAAATCAGTAATTTGAACAAATTTGAACATATGAATGAAAAACGTTTCTAATTTTTGTATTATTAAGATTTTATAAGATATGTAATGATTCTTTGGCGTACTTTGTTACAATGCTCATTATAAAATCTGCAAAAAAAGGATTAAAATAAATCTCAGATGTCAACACAATCTCCCGGGCAATTCTTCACTAGACCAAACGATGCCATCCAAGACTGCATTATCTATGAGGCTGAGAATGGCTAATGAGGCCCATCTATTGTGATAGAGCCTGCACTGCATTGAAAGACTTTTTCTCTCTTCTCTACAGTAAGTGGCTGTACTTACCCACTCCTGCAGAGAGAGCCCAGCTTTTAAAGTTGAAGGCAAAAGTGAAAATAGCCATTGTTGTCCGGGCTGAAAGACTTCAAACTTCAAATAGTCCTTGGGTTTTAGGGACAATCCTCATGGCCAATGTTGTTTTCATGATGGCAAGGATTCATATTTCCCAGGCACAATGGAGAGTACCTGGTATGAAGCAGGAGCTGAAAAAATATATACACATAAATATGCATAGATACATACAGACATATATATATATATATATATATATATATATACACACATACATATATAAACATGTGCACATATAAACTAATATCATCAAATAAATACTAGAATTTTGTTTATATCATCAAAAATCACATCGTATACCCCCTAATAATCCCACTGCCAGAGCATTTTTCCGAAAACTTTGAATGGTATGATTTCTCAATACCATTCCCAGCTCCTATATTCAGTGACTTGTTTACCCTGTTACTTTCAGTCTCGTACTCTGGTTTGAGATGTCTCAAAATAGCATTTCAGTTATTTGTGTTTTCATCTATAATTATTTTCTCAACAAGGGTTTTAAAATTCCTATGTAGTTTTTTTTAAAGAACCTTGAAAAATGCTGCAAAATTCTGCAATGTGTTCTTAGAAACAAGGGAAGATGCAAATACATCAGCAGTCATGTGGAAGCAGCGTGATTTGAACACAGCAAAAAGGAGTGAATATTAATTTCAGTGCTGCCACTTACCACCTGAGTGAATCCTGACAAGGTTTTTGTTGTAGTTGTTTTCTTTATTTGTTTGCTTTCCTGGTCTTCAGTTTCTCACATGTATATATGAGGAATATATACTTGTCATTGTGATCTCTGGACCCTGTGACCTCTAGCATTTTTTGAAACTCTGAATTTCTTGGATTGTAGGAAACTTATCCTAACCAAATTTGTGTGGGTATGACTGGCTTTAGGAAAGCATAGCCAGTAATTGATGATGAGTCTGAATGCAAAGAATACTGGCAGAATGAGCTAGACCCTACCTCATAATCCTTAATAAGTCTACCTGTATAATTAAGAGCAATCCTTAATGAGTGTATCTGTATGGTTAAGAGTGAAGGTCAGTAAACCTGACTTTTACCATATAATACTTATGGAAATTTCAAGTCACTTTGTTTCTTTAATCACTGATAGAATGAAGAAACAAAACCTACCTTCACAACATTTAAAGCATTAGATAAAATATAAGTGTAAAACATTTACAACCATACCCAGAACACTGCAGTGCTCAGTTGATAGTTTCTACTAATATTCCTATCAGAAAACATCTAAGTTCAAACGACAGAGCAGACAAGAAATACACAGGATGGGAATAGATTCTTACCAAAAGGAGAAATTGATCCAACTTAAACAAAAGGCTATTTATTTCCTCTTTAGATTGTTCCTGAAATTTGCTAAGACTTGAATCATTGCTCAGAACATATGATCCCAAGAAGTTGTTTTGTGCCAACTCAAGTGGCAGATAACAGGAGACCTTTCAAAAGAAGAGATTTACAAATAACCACATTGGTCTTTATTGCCCATGTTGATTTTCTCTATAAAGTCATAGGAAGTATAATATTATTGATCAGACAAGATAAGAGCCTGGCCTACCAGAATCAAAAAATAACCTTTTATTTATCCACCTGGAAAATGTCCATGGAAAGTATAAAGGAGAGTGTTTTGGGTCAAAGAGTACATTTGGTTTCACGCTGAGAGATCTGCCACTTTTCCAGTTTATTTCCTAAATAACGAGCATGGTTGCTTTTGTACAGTCATGGTCTCAAAGGCAAACCTTTTGTTTCAGAGGTTGAATGGGCTATTTCTCTGCATGTCTGATTACATGACATGCATCTGTAAGCATATTGACAATTTCATTATACTGAGTGCAGTAATCCATATCAACAGCTCATCCCTGTTTTGAATTATAAAATGAAGTGACTTAAAAAGCCAGGTATAAGCAAACTTATCTCCTTCTAGTTCTTCATGGATTGGACTAGGTCCAAAATTTAAAAAACACACAGAGTTGCTTCTTAAATTTAACCACTTCCTAAAATTGTTTTTTTTTTCACCAAAATTAGGCTACCTAAAAGATTAAAAGCTCTTTTTCTTCCTCAAAAAAAGAGGGGAAAAACACATAATTACATTCTAATTTAAAACTCTAATTGAGTGCTCTTGTATTTGTAAGATGTTCCACTTTCCATTAGGGACAATATTCTTATTAGTCACACAAGCTGTCTAATCATTTAAGGGCAAGGCTTCTTGAAACCATATACCTTTGTTGCAAAGCAAATGAAAAAGTGCAGTGCTGTCTTTTTTCCTCAGTGCATCTCAATTATGTACTTATAAATGGAACAATCAAATACTCAGGCTGAAAACCATGATACCTTCTAGACTAGCACAGGTCTAAAGACAGCTGAGGTTAGTCCTGTCTGTATTTTTAAGACAGTACTCTTTCTGGTCTAAATTTAAATATTTAAAGATTGGTAAAAGACAAACAAACAAAAACAAAACAAAAAACAAAGTGCTCATGAATAAAGGACAAGGAAGCTTGGTTAGAGAAGCAGAAAAGCAAACGCTTGAACACACTGGTTGGATTTGGAATCTGGGAGACCCATGTTCAATCTCAGGGTCTCCTGAGTTACCTAAATCTCTGAACCTTGCTATCTATAAAACAGAGGTAATAACAGCATCTCTCAGAAAGGCTGGGGGAAGAATTACAGGAGATAATATGTATAAGTGATTTTCACTGTTCAAAATAAGCAAGGATGCTCAATATCATCAGCAGCATAATTAGGAAATCATTTTGTAAGTGTGAAATATACTAGGTTTAATTTTCTCCTGCTCACCCTTTCTCTCCATATGCAAATGTATACCGGAAAAACGGGAAGAAAATGACTATTCAGAGTGTTGGCCATGTTCCAGGTACTTTACATAGATTATCTCAACTAGTCATCATGACATCTGCCTGAGGTATGTTCCTTTTAAAGATGAGGAAACTGAGGCTAAGATGAAGAGACAGAGTAAGAAAGAGAGAAAGCCTGAAACCCAAGTCTCTAGTGCCCAGCCCATACTTATTCTACTACAAAAAGTTTACATGCACATGTATTAACACACACACACACACACACACACACACACACACACCTATTCCTGAGACAATTTGGGAATCTGTTTAGGTGGTACTCATAGGCTTAATAACCTGAGTACAGTAGCTTTTTCAAAATTAATATTTAATACTCAAAATAGTCCCATAAATTATTATCTTTATTTCATGAATAAAACAATGGAAGTTCAGTGCATAAGTAATATGAAAAGGCAAATGCTATTAAGTTCTGGATTTAGGATTAGAACTGAGGTCTGTTTGACACCAAAGTCCAGGTTATTTCTCCTGTATAAAGACAACTTCTGATGAGAAAGCAAGGGTTGTTTGACTAGAAACCCTTCATTAAAATACATAGAAAAATTTACTTTCTATTCTCTTATGACATAAAAGATTTTACTTTCTTTTGGGAAAATGGTTGTCTAATGGTGAAATTTTTTCTTGCAGAATAAAGGTTATGAAACTGGCTCTCTTTGAATTGGGTGAAAAGAATGAGTACCTTGGACATGCATATCCTGCTGGCTTATTTCTTGTGTATTACGGCATTCAACAAAGAGGAAAGGTCCTATTTGATTTTAGCAAAATGTGGGATCCATGCAGCTCATTTGTAAGCTTCCTTCCTGTTGAAGCTCTCGTTCATACAGCGAGGTCACAGCGTTGGTGATCCGAATGTTCACACCTGAAAGGTGAACGTTAATATATCACATATTTCAACTGTGAGATTTCAAAAGAAGCCTGTTGTTGGCTCTGTGTTTCTGGGCGGCTCATAGATCTCTGTCTAAAAGCACTGGGTATAGCAATGAGTTCACGATGGTATCTCAATAAATTTCTGTGGAGCCAAAGAGAAAAGCCAGACAATCTTTGGTTGATAGCATAAAAAGAGTGGACAATATGGCCTACAGAAGGCTACCATTTGGAAGACCTTCAAGGAATCATGGTTGATTGCCTGAAACAAGTACAATCATGAATATCAGTTGTCATTAGTTCTTGAACTGGTATCTTGATAACCAAGTAGCTTAGACCAAAGCCATCTTACAGAGATTTCCACAACCCATAAGTTCCCTAAAACAAGATTTGGAGAGCAGAAATTAAGATGCAAAAATGAATATTTGCATAAACTGCTTAAACTGTTATCTTATATCAGGATAAACTATCTGTTAGGAGGTACAACAAGAAAAACAAGCCAAGATGCGCTAAATACCCAAACATTAATTGGCTTTTAAAAATTCTAGTTCCAATATACAACTCTTACTACTTTGAAATGTAAAGGTTTTAACACTAAAACTCATTTCAATTTTAAAAAACGTGTGCCAAAAGGTCTTAACTAAAAACCATTACCTTGATTCTAAATTTAAAGGTTTTCAGAAGAAACAAAGTTAATTATATACAGTATGCTGAAAGTATGTCTCAACTATAAGTCAGTTGTTTTAAATGAAAGAAATAGAAGTCTGCAAATTATCACTTTCCCAGTTCCAAATTTCCACTGGAATTTCTAGAGGTTCTGGATCCTACGTCCCAAAACACCACCAAAACTGCTTAAACACATGTACATACATACACCAAATCTAGATACATGAAAGAGCACAAATGTTCTTAAATGTTTAAGAAACACAGTGGGATAGAAGAATAGACACACACACACACACACACACACACACACACACACACAAACACACAGTGCCTCTGAAGTGCCACCAGTCATTCTCAATGGCAATGGGGTCAGCTTGACAATCTTTGGCTTGATTTAGGGATGCAGTAGGTCACTGCCCTGGTTCTGGTGCTCATGAGCCATTGCCTAGGTGGCAGCAACAGGTAGTCCACCAACCTACTGCAAGAGATAACTTCTAAGACACAAGATGTGAATGAATGACAGTCTTCTCAAAGGCTTTTCATGGGTCTCCTTTGTTGGCAGAGCTATGTCCCATTTCTATTTTATAACATTTATTGACCCTGAAGAGACCAGTAATAGTTTAGCTCTGTATTCCTCAAATTATGCATTGTCTTAAAAAAATCCAGGAATTACTTCTTTTTCAAAGTTTTTCAAATTTTTAATTTTTGTGGGTATATATGAGGTGCATATAATTGTGGGATACATGAGATGTTTTGATATAGGCATGCAATGTGAAATAGTTACATAATAGAAAATGGGATATCCATACCATTAATCGTTTATTCTTTGTGTTACAAACACTCCGGTTACCCTCTTCATTATTTAAAATGTAAAATTAAGTTATTATTAACTAGTCAACTTGTTACTCTATCAAATATTAGTTCTTATTAATTACTTCTACCTATTTTTAGTACCTATTAACCATCCCAGGCAGTACATCCTGATAAAACAGTTGTACTATATAAAAACCAGGGATACTTCTCCATTGCTGCCCTGGAGATATGGACTGTGATTAGGTTGTTGAATGTAGGAGCCAGAGCTTACTGTCTGTGGCTGGACATATTCCAGCTATATTTCATTAATTTGCAAAAATCATCCATGGAGCTATTAAAAATATGGATTCCCAAGTTTTGACTCTTTTCCCAAAGGTTCTGATTTGTTACGTCTTGCAAAGGAACCAGAAATCTGCATTTTACAAAGTTCCTGGTCTTTCTGATGCAACACAGCAGCAATTTCATATTTGGAACCATACATAATTTATTTTCCTCGTTTTATAGATATAAAAGCTGTGAGCCAGAGTAGTAAAGTGACTTGCCAATGATTATACAGAGTTGCTGCACACCAGAACTGGAACCCAGGTCTCCCAACCCCCAGTTCTTCCTTTTCTGCTGAGCTGCCTCCCACCATAGCAATAAGGGTGTCATGTAGCAACCTCTGTGCAGCTTCCTATAGCTCTTCACTGGTTATATTCTCAGATAATCTTTCACTGCAAATTCACTTTTTAAAGAAGACAAAATTTCACAGTAAAACCTCTCACAGGTCAAGACAAGAAACTTGTTTCACTGAAGGCATTTTTTTTTCTGGCTCATCTAATTCTTAAAGCACAGAGCCAGCAATGTGTTCTGCCTCTTTTACTCTGTCTGTACAGTGGGAATTAACACCGGCTCTCACTGAATTGTCTGTTAGTGAAATTAAAAGCATGGATAAAGATAATAAATTCTATGTTACCTCTCAAACCTCTCTGTGACAGATTTCCTGTAAATAACAGTATGAGTAGGCATTTCTGCTACAGCATTAGCATCAGAGAGAACGGACAAATCAGATTGTCAGTTCATGATTCAGTATCCTCATGAGAAAACTTGTGCATGCCAGACAAGTGCCTCACAGTTGACATTTATGTTTTGGGCCAGTTGAGATACATTTACCTTTACCTTAAAATGAAATGTATACTAGAAAATTAATTTGATCCACTAGTATAAAAGTCTTTCTGTGGCTAGCCTTCTTGGTGAGAAAAAAATCTTGACGTCTTTGATAGATTCAATAATTCATTCTGGATGAAACTAGTTTTATGTGCTCAAACTGAAACTTCTTAAATACTCCTCTGCTTGACTTAACTAATTTCATGTAGCTTCATTTATTTCCACGGAATAGTTTAAGTACCAGGGGAATTGGATTCATGGTCTGTTTCACAATAAGAAAATGTGCTTAGTTGGGGAAAAAGTCTTTAAAGACATTTCCAGTACCAGATTATTAAATTATTGCTTTTCTAACAAATGGGTGAACTTATTCAAGTAAGACTTAATTATTCATTGATCCATTCAAAAACATATATATTGAGTGCTTATTATGGTGTAGAAACTGCTGGACACTGGGCCATAACAATGAACAAAAACAGATTTCTCTTGCTCAATAGACACACAAGGGCTTCCAAGGGGACATAAACATTTATCACATAATTACACAAAAGAGAAGGTTTTTATAGGACAGAATAAAGGGTGAGGTGGATGTAAGTGAGGTCAGAGAAAGCTTCCAAAAGGGATCAACAACTCAGCTGAGATTGGAGGGGTGAGCAGTTTGTAACTAAGGCAAAGAGGGAAAGAATATGTACGTATGTCAGTAGAGACATGATGACCAAGGACATACAGCCGAGTTCTAAAGGAGCATCAAGAGCAACTCTGTTGTACAAGCCAGTCTTGAGGCTTGCATTTAGTATCCAGGTCTTTGATCATGGGGCAGTTGTGGTTTACTGGACAAAGTACTTGAGGAGGAGGAGCGAAAGCCCTGGAAAAGTTGCTTTAATCCCCATGGTTGTAAGTCATCACACTTGCAAAGGGAGGTTAATAAAGTATACTGCCTGAGGTCATAGGAAGATTAAATGAGATCAGATGTGTGTAGAGTTTTATAAACTAAGAAGTAATATACAAAACTGAGGGATTATAAAAGATTATAATGACTAATACCTTCAATATATAAACTACTTTCTGGCAAAAAAAAAAAAAAGGTATTATTTAGGAGACGCTGATCTGTTGTACAGACAGGCATAGTATTTTTTCATGGTGCCATACCAAGCAGGATAGAGGCCAGGTCCTACCAGCTTGCTGTGTCTTGCATGACCAGGCATTCGCTGTTTTAAGGCCTTCAAGGGGATGTGCATTACCTAAAATCCTGGCTCCCACAGTAAGTGGCTTTGTAACATCAGCCCAGCCTTCGTATTCCACCATCTGAAGATCAGAGGTTAGCTTTTGCCTCATGCTGTAGAGGTAACCACAAAAATGTTCTGAAGCTTCTCATCCATAAGTTTTTGGACTGAGTGCAAAATTTTATTATTGTTATCCTCACTCAGAGTCTCTCCATTATAGATCTTCCCCAGGTCATGGTAGTACCCAAGGGAAATTATACTGTGGAAGAATGTTTTAACAAAGTTACAGTGTGGTTACAAAATCAATATCAAGGAAATCCTGGACTAATTAATATAACTAAGGATGGAAAATTTCAAGAAGTATACTAGATGGCAGGTAGGAGAAAGGAAAAGTTGACGAAGAGTTTTAGAAGGGGACGCTCACCCTGATCAGGGAATCAGAAAAGGGAAATCAGCAAATTATGGCTGATAGTTACATTAGCTCAATCTAAATAACGTGGAGAGATCATTTGGCAAAAGCAGACACTCAACGTGACACAGAGAGCTAGACATTTTTCTTTTCAGAAATAATGCAATTCTGCCCTTGTTTATTTTCTCTAGGGGCCACATTACTGCCCTTAGGAGGTCGGGTTTTTTAGGAATCAGAGTGGCAAAGTTTAGCTCTTACAGAAATTCCAGCCACAAGAGAAGTAGTCCCTAAATCCCATCCCCCATCCCCTTGCTTTGCTTGACACCATGCTTCTGGGAGAGCCCAGTATGATTTAGAGTTAGGGGGCAGTGGGCAGCACTCTTAGTGCTGGATATTCAACTCTGCCTCCCAGAAGAGTTTCCTCTGTTCTAAGGAGACAGCCAGCATCACTCCACAGTGGCCCAGGAGGAGTCAGAATAACAGACTGATCTATGGCCACGATTAGGCATCCAAGAAATTAAGTGGGTGTCTCTGCTTGTTCTGAATGGATGGAAGAAAGAAGCTTGGGGTTACCTTTCCTTGGCACAGCCTTAAGTTATGTAGTCATGCACAGTTGCATTCCAACATAATTTTAGCTCAATGGTGATTCCAAGGCAGAGTCAATTTTCTCTTTCAGTCCTGGGTTGAAGAGCACTCAGGTTCTTAGCAATGCAATTTTCCCACTGTGAATGGCCAACTACA